TGATCACATGACTCAATGTCATGTCTCATGTGCGTTAAGCTCCTTCATCATCACATGTGTGAGCTTTGCAACATCTCTAAGCTATTTTCACCTTCATGGCATATGTTGCTCACACACATGTACCTGTGGACTAATCACCTGTGTATCTCACATAAACACAATTAGTCCACCTAGGTTGTCACTCAATTACCAAAACCAACAAGGACCTTTCAACGAGAACATGGGAGGGGCGATCGAGCTCTCAGCACCCGTTCACTCCTTCCATCGGAGACTTGAGATCCTTTCCCTCTCTCGCCTATTTGTAACCCCTACTACAAACCAAGTGTCGGTAACACGAGCAGCAACAAACTGGACGTAGGGACGTTCCGCCTGAACCAGTATAAACCCTTGTGTCCTCCGACCACACCATCCGAGCCAGACGCGCAAATACAAATTTACTCATCGGTGGTCCGAAAACACCAACACCATCTGACTCCGTCCACGCGATCACGTTGCTAGGCATTGTCGGAGCTAAATAATCCGATAGGAGCATTTTCTGACATCCTGACATATGGAACACGTGCATCCGTGGTAAGCCCCATTTGGAACGCAGGATTTTTTTTTCGTTCTTGCGCTTTTCCTGTGAAAAATAAACTGAATTCTGTGAAATTCCTATAAAATTTCTACGTTCCAAAGGGGCCCTCCACTACTATAGTATTTTTAATGGAGGCGAGCAAAAACACTTTACCGAGATGGACATTCAGTCCGCCTCCATGAAAAGGCGTCGGTTAATGGGGTATTAACCAAGGCGGGCACAGTGGCTGCCTCCGGTAAATAGAACTAAAATAATAATAAAAACAACAGAGGCCAATGCCGAGCTCATCCAGGGCCCGACGTCGAGCCCAACCACACCGTGTCGTCCTGGATCCGCCGTCACCGCCGTCTTGGATCCGCCGCCGCCGGATCCACACCTGAACGAGCCGAGCGGCCCACCACCGCCGGATTTGCACCTAGACGCATCGAGCGGCTCGCCGACGTCGGATCTCTCCCGCCGACGCTAGATCTCGCCCGCCATTGCCGAGAGCTAGAGGGGGCGGCTCCCGATCGCTTCTAGGGCCTACCGATGGAGCCCGCTCGACCCTCGTGCGCCGCCACCGCTGGACCTCCTCGCATATCCACCCTCGCCGTGCCTCCTTGCAGATCTACCCTTGCCGCACCACCACCTCGCAGATCCGCCTGAGCGCCGCTGCTTGGGAGCCGCCAGGATGCGAGGAGCCCCGCCGACACGGGCGTACTGGGCCTAGCCCCTGGCTTGGCGAGCGCCCCAACCGGATCCGAGACCCACACGCCACGCACCACCGAGAGAGGGAGAGGGAGGCGGCTCGATCTCGAGAGGGAGAGAGAGATCGCAAGAGGAGGGGCGCCGCTCGGCCTCAGTGGAGAGAGAAGTGAAAATGAGAAACCCAAGTGTCTGTATTTATAGTCAAAAAGGCTATCGGGCCTAGCCTGGGCCTAATGGGCCTCAACTTTTTTTTAGGTGGTTGTCTAAAGAGGCCTGCCTCCGTAAATCAATTTTAGGAGACAATTGTTTTTTTACCGCCTCCGTTAATCAATTTTACAAGGGGCAAATTTGCCCACCTTCGTAAATAAAAACGACCGCCTTCCATTAATCATCCGGTATTTTTGGAGGCGGTTAAATTTTGTTACCGCCTTGGTTAAAGTTTGGGCACTGTCTTGTAAAATCATTTGTGTAATAGTGCTTATTGATTTTTCTTCTCCCTCTTCATTTATTGTTCTACCACGTCTGAATTTCGTATATGTGGCATGCTCATTTACGCCAATGGAAACGATCCCAAAACCGTGTTGGGACTGCCCTTAAGGCTAGTTTGGATGGAGTCATGGGAAACACGTCTGAGCCATGAGCCAGGCAGCACCTTCAGGCCGTCGATTTTTCATGCATGGGGTCAGATCGACATGCCTGGGCGGCAGCCCCCAGGCGAGGCTCCAATCCAAACAGCACCTTATAGCGTTATATTTTACAATGTACCAACGCACGTGCTCATCAATCATCACTGAGAGGTAGACATTGCTTGAGCTTCAGTGCACGGGTAGAAAGGATAAGGTTGCCAAACTTGCTAAATTTAATGGCATGGCTATCTTTCACCCTTTCTATACATCGCTGGTCACATTTTAATTAACCAAATTAAGCAAAACTAAAAGCTTATTTGCAAGTTCAAAACTGTACTACTGATTACTCTGTTGGATTTTGACTATTGGATAAGTTTTTTTTGAATTACTATTGGATAAGTTTTATTATGCCATATTAATAGCCAGCAGATAAATTGAGGATCAGCAGATACTTAAATTGAAGTTTGAAAAACAGTCCAAAATATTATTCTGCTGAAAAATACGGATTATAAGACAAGTGTGTAGATTTGGAAGGAAAAAAAACTAGCGCTTCTTCTCAAACTAGTAGCTGCTTACTGTACTTGTGATTCATGAGTACGGTAGTTGTTGCAATCAATTTGGACTATGCAGTATTCTAGGCAAGCAGGATACGAAATCAATCGGACCCGCTCAACTCTGATCGAATGGACATCATAATAATCATGATTACATTAAGTGAGGAGATGTAAAAAGAAAGGAACTAATTCCTTCTACAGCAATAATATAATACGAGTTATCTTCGTACCGTGCTTCGAGAACAAAACTGCCCTTTGCAATAGTAATCAAAAAGGCAAAAAGTGGGGGTGAAAAAGTTGTGCATATTTGTTTCAGCTTTTAGCTAGAATTCTACTCGCCAAAAGTCAGGAATCCAAAACAAATAGCTTAGCTATTGAGCTTATTTTTGAAAAGCTAGAAATGTGGCTTATGAGAAATTAAACTAAAAGCTAAAAAACACATTGAGAAGAACTTTTCTGGCATTGGTGTATTGAGAAGATAAAAAATTATTACAGAAGTCAATAGCAAAAATTCAAAAGTCAGAAAGCTAGCTTTTCAGTCAAAAGTTACAGCTCAAACAAACAAACTCTTAGTCAGTACTTTGCCTAAGGGTAGTTTGTTTGAGCTGCAGTTTTTAGGGTTTTTGTTTTTTGGCGCAAAAGCTAGCTTTCTAACTTTTAACTTTTTGCTATTGATTTTTGTAATAAAAGTTAAGGTTCTTAGCACCCCAAAAGCTAGAAAAGTTGTTCAGAACATATTTTCATCTTTTAGTTCATTTCCTTATAAGTCAGAGCCAACTCAATATCTAGGTTGTTTGTTATAGTTCCTAGCCCGTAGAAGCCAGCAAAAAGTTGAAACAAACAAGCCGGCCCTACTTTCGAAGAGCTTGGGCTTCTAAAAAACAGAGAAGCCACGAAAAGTCATGTTTTAGTGGCTTCAACTTCTAGCTCCAAAACGACTTCAGTTCATTGTTTTTGGTGGAAGAGCTCCTAGAAGCCCTTTCAAAGAGGCCCTAAGCATTGCACAGCCGTAGGCATGTCAAGGCGAGGCTGGATGGCTCAGGCATCAACTTGCAAAACTCTTCATTCTCTAATCACTTATTAGTAGTGGTTACAACTTACAAACGAGAAAAGACAGGGAAAAGGAAGACAGGGGAATGTGTTGCGTCCACTCCAATTTCATCTCGCCAACTATATATTGAAATTTTCATGATAATGGGGGCCCAACTATTAGCTAGTCAGTTTTATGCCAAATTTACCACAATTTTTTTTTTAAAAAACTTTATCGATCACAAAAGTTTTAAAATTATGTTTCCGTGGAAGAGTTTGGCAAACTATGGCCATGATCCAAAGTTCCAAACAGACCCTTGATATTCTCTAATCTATTCGACCACATACTGCCATACTCAAAGAAATGTGCAATCATCTATATGTGGTCATCATTAGTTCCTCTATTGCATATGAAACACAATGTATTCTTCCACTGCACTGAAACCGATCTGAAGCACAAACAAATAGGGAAATAGGTTTACACTGCTTGACAATAGTTTGCATTCATTCTGCAATTTCTGGGTGGAATGTACCATCTCTAGATTTTTCATTGTGCAAAGAGTCCATTTTACTCCTGACCTTGTGAATGCTTTCACAATTTCACTTCTCATCCAACTATTCAGACACTGGTATGGTGGGGTTTTTTAATCATTTAATCCTCACGGAATGCCAAACCAATTAGCCACGGAAATTAACTATCAACTTGCACCACCAAAGTTAATCAGTAAAGAGAAAATCGACCCGTTAGATTCTAAAAGAAAATGCCACCAAGTTACGGATAGATGACCAAACACAATTCTACACAAGTCTAAAGTGCACACTGTCAAACAGCATCAATCTTCTTTTTCTCGGACACAAACAGCAGCAATCTGCTTCTACTGTCAGTCTGCTACCAATCAGCAGCTACATTTGATCCTGCCTGATGCTCCCAGCTAGATACACACTTGATATAGGTGAAAGTTGATCCTTGAAGGCCACCCACCATCTTGCAACTTTGATATCAGTCCTAATCTCTGAGGCTCACAAGACAAACATACAGTTGATATCAGCAATTAGAACTGGAAAACAAGGTTCTGATTTTGATAAGATATGAGGTGGTCATAATATGAATTAACAGATCTAGGGAAGCAATGTGACAATTTGTGGCCTTCAGATTTGATTTGGAGGAACTATTTGTGAAACTTCGGCTGCGACACCCCTAGCATGTATGATCAACATGAGTAGTATCAACCTAAACACATTGATGTGAAACCAGAGAAGGTATATACATCTAACCAAATTCACTTTTTTTTATGCAGGGTTTGGACCTTTCCATTCAGATGAAGCTCCAAAGCTCAATTGTTGTTTTACAGAAATAAAGATAATATGTATCGTCATGTTAAGTGGATATGCTAGTGTTGGTTAAAAATATATATTACAGTAAAAGAAATAGAGACTAGTCACAACAATTATGTCAGCAATACCAAGAAAAAGAGCGTGGATGAGTCAGAATCATTACCAGTTATTAGGGCGCACATCCCATCTACTTGGTCACTTCCTTTTACAAGGCAACATCTCCACAGGATTTGGTATATCCTTTTTGGCGAAAATTACAGGCCCTGCATCAGAAAGCATTTCTCCATCCTCTGGTTCACTCTCAGTCTCGGACTCTTCACTAATCCATCCATAGCAGGGAGGTCCTGCACAAGGCCCTTTTGCTGGAGGCACTGGAAGTACATATTCCAGGGGAGGTGAACTGTTGGCAGAAGCTTGCACTTCGAGGGCTGACTGAGATTCATTCGGTGCGTCACCATGCACTCGTGAGACTTCCATACCATTTTGTGGTAATGCCTCTTCTTTCTGCATAACGAAAGCCTATCCATTTGAAAAAAATTCTGGATGGCAAAATAAATCCCACGGAGTAATTTTCTCAAAATGAGCAGCTTTTCTCGACAATTTGTTGATGACTAGCATAAAATTTTGATCATAATATTGTATGTTTCATTGTGAGTTGTCATAGTAATTATAAACAGGTTTGCAAATGCTGACAAGGCTGAGAGCTTCGCATGGATGCATGTCCATAAATATGCAAATTTAGAACATTACGTTGTTGCCTAAAAAATATTATCCTAGCTGTCTGTGTTACTTGGATCGTAAGCCAGTGAAGCTTCTGGATTTCAATTTTCTAAAGGAAAGTATCGGCACAGAACATATCTATGGATCAATGTTACAACTCTACACTCTGGCATAAGAGGCTATGCACACCTAAGATGTAAATTTCAGGAAAACAAAACACAACCATGCGATGCAAATCAAGAATAGCGACAACAAAGTGCCACGGACAGGCGAGGAAGAAAGGGAGTTCACCTGATCCTGCTGCGCCTGTTCTTCCCGGAGTCTGTTAAGCACCATACGGTATGATCCCTCCTCCAGGAAGACCCACCCATCTCTCCCATACAGCTGTATCATCGAGTATCACGGACAAACCAGTTAGTATTCCTTATTCCTCAGTCAAGCATTTGTTGCATTTGTCAGAAAAGAAAAGGAATTCTTCAATCTCTTTCAAAATTTGAACAATCAACAGATCAGCTCTTCAATCATGAAAAAAGTGTCAGGTTTGCTACATTCCTCACCCAAAAGAATAAAGGAGAGAAAAAGGTAAAATTATGACACTACCGAGCGTGCACCCACCTCTCACTCCCACAGAGCGAAATCAAAGGAGTTTCTTTGCTAGGAACATCCTGTAGCACGCCTGTCCAAAATTCAGATGCACTTCAATGTTCTCTAGTCTCCACTGAGCTAGATTTCGAGAAACCCAAAAAATTCGCTTGAACTACTTGAGCGGTACTTTTCAGCGAACGAACGGTGTTTACGAACAGGGCAAGACGCGAACAAATCTTGCCGTCTCCCTGTGGTTTCTTGAATGAAGCAGGGAAAAGCGCGACCTTTTCTACTCCACCAGCACAAGAATTTCAACCGCGTCCATCTGAAGAGGAGCAACATGGGCAGGAGAATACCCTAGTACCCTAACGCTACTCGATGGCAAGACGCGACGCCAAGCAGGATTTCTGAGGAAGGGGAGCAACAGCTACCTGCAGGAGGTCGTGGATGACGTTGCGGATTTGGGGCTTGGCGAAGCCGTACTGGGCCAGGTGGTCAGTGGCGGCGTCGATCCGGCGTTCTCCTCTCTTGGGCCTCGGCCGCCTCATCGCCTCGGCCACTGCTGTCCCCTCCTGATGGCGGAGGGAGTGAACACCTTGAATGCTCCAAGCTCCCCGATTGAATGCAGAGTCAGAGACTGGAGACTCAGAGAGACAGCACAGAAGTGACAAGCTCAACAAACGACAAAAGTGGTAAAAGGCATCGTGTTGGGCTCTGGGCCTATGCGTCGCGAAAGAAAATGGTGAAAAGCGGGTGCCCAATTGACTGGCCGCTGGCGCGGCCTGGCGCAGTGCTGCTGGCCGGCTAGATCTGATCATAGGCCGGGCCGGGCCAAAAAACCCGACGGATTTTTCCTTGGGCCGTGCCTGATCCGACCCCAGCACCGGTCGGACTGCAACCCCTGGGCCGCGCCCCGCCCGCGGGGATGCGTTGGTGCGGCGAGTGTTGGCGGCGCGGATCGACGGCGACTGCCCTCCGTTTTGGTCTCCCAGCGGCGAGATGCATCACCATGGTGATGCGCGGCAGGGATCTGGTGGCCCGGCCTTCGTATCCAGCGAGAGAGAGCGAGGGAAAGATGGTACGGTGGCGCCTGCTGCGCTAGGAGACGCCGACATGGCGCTCCAGGTCCCGGTGGCCGGCCGGACGACGGACGGGACGAGGGATGATGGTGTGGAGAGTCGGTCAATGCCGAGAGCGTTGGCCGTTGGGGCCTTTCGGCTGGGACGGTGGCAGAAGGCTGTTGTTGGGCCAGAATATGGCTGGGCTGCAACAAGGAGAACAGAGAGCAAAGAAAACTGCACTGGGCAGGCTGAGATTTATGTTCAGTTGGGCCGTTGGGCTAGCCAGCGGGCTGAAGTTCTGGCCCCAGCCCAACTCGAATTATGCTCCGGGTCGAAAATCGCATCCCACGCCTATCCAGTAGCTAGTGTGTCTATGCAAATTTTTTCTACGCGACAGTGTCGCACCGCGCTTCCGTACGACACCCCCTAGAGGTCCCACCAGGCAGGGCGATTCCTCGCGTGGTCAGCTGACCATGGGATACGTGTCCGCCTGCCACTGGATGTTGCACGACCGGACCTGTGCGACTGGATACGTACAACGCGTCCCTTACCCTCGTCTCTTTGTCGCTCGTTTTGCAAAAAACACCCTGGTTTGGCTTGGAGACGGCCATCCCGTCGCCTCGCGAGACGACGGTGAGGGCCCGTGCTCCGAGGCCCAGTTGCTGGCTGGTGCTGCGCTGTACGAGTCGTCTTCTTGACTCGACGATGCACGAGGATCCTGCACGGCCGCACGCCGAATCTGGTATTAGCGCGCGCGAGGACGTTGCGCGCCCTGGCCGCCGCGAGCCGTGTGGTCGAGCTCCGCCGCGCGCATGGGCTGTGCGTGGCGACCTCCGCCCCGGTCACCGTGAGCCGCACGGGCGAGACCCGCACTGGCCGACACGAGCGCGCAGGCGAGCTCTGCTCCGGCCACCGCGAGCGCCTCGTCATCCAGAACCCCGCCTCCCGCTGCCCTCCATCGGCGATGCCGCGCGGAAACGGCCAAGCAGGCCCAGGCTCTTCGTCATCACCGCCGCGGCTCCTCGCGGATCTAGGAACGGTGAGGGTATTTCTGATGCTTTTTCTCTTCCTGATTGTGAGCGCTGTCGACGATGGTGGCTTCCTTCAGGCTAGATCTGGTGCGGCGACGATGGCTTCCTCCCATGGCGGACAGTACCCATGTGCCGTGCCGCCAGCTCTTCCCTTGGTAAAACACTAATCTTGCCTATTTCCATGTTTGACTATGCAAATTTTTTGGCCGTACTTGTTCTTGAAATAGAAAAATAGCTGCTCTGCAGTGAGTTTCAGCATCTTGTGTGCTGCTGCAAATAAAATTATAATTCTAAGCGATGCAACTGAACTGAATATATTGGCATACATCATTTCCTGTCTGTGGTGATGCAACTAAACTATATGTAATTTTATATATATTACAATTATATATAATAATCATTTACGTTGATGATTTCAAAAATTATTGTAATCATGTTCATCTTATTTATGCTTGATCCGTTTTCTATCGAATAGCAACACGATGATATGGAAACAAAGGAAATTAGACAAAAGGCGTTGCAACTATATATAATAATTATTATTATATTGATGATTTTAAAAAATATTGTAATCATGTTGCTCTTATTTATCCTTGATACATTTTCTATCAAATAGCCACACAATGGTATACAAACATTTATTTATAGTTGATCCTAGCTATATGCAAAGCATTAAACAGCTTAGAGATGGACCCCCTGTCTGTGGGTTGTATGACCTGTCTTTATACCTGTCTACATGATAGATTCGAGGCGCTTAGAGACGGATTCCGTACGTGGGTTGTACATGCCCTAAGATTTATTTCCGTGTCTATTGTGGCCTCGTGGGGTTTTTTAGACAGGTTGGATTGGGTTGGGTGGCCTATGATCAATATAGATAAATTATTCCAACAAGATACAAAATTATAAACCATGAAAGTAGAAGTACAAGCATCAACAGAGCATGATAATATGTAGAACCAGAACATGTGCACATAATACAATCACACATAGAGTTGAGATTATTACAAACTAGAAGAACTTCCCACGCGTTGCCGCAGGAATTAGCGATGGATTTCCCGTGTGTTGCCGTAGAAATTAGTGATGGATTTCTCTTATACTATTGTTATTACTATTATGGAGCACAAAGTATTTAGAATTGGTAGGTATAATTTGGCTGCCTATTGAATAACTCAGAAATTATAATAAGCACTCTTCACTATCGTGTAAAAAGACCAAAAGTATTGAAATGTAAATTCGCCACCATTGCCACGTGAATTAGGATGACTTTCATATCTATTACATCTATGCTTACAGTGGCGAAACTAGGGGGGCAGCAGGGCCATGGCCCCCCGATACCCTGGAGATCTTTTTTAATACCCCTATAAAAACTGCAATTTATAGAATATTTGGCATCAATTCATCCAATTTTTATAATACTATTATGATTTTTAGTTACGAATACTAACTACATATGCAAAAAAAAAACATTGAAAAATAGTTGAAACATACACTTTTGTATATATTTATCAACACAGAGGTATCATCATATTTGTCCGCCCCCTTAATCAAAGTTGTTGGTTCTGCCACTGTATGCTTATAGATGCAATAGAATGGGGCATACATTATTGTCGATGTACAAAGCTGAATGATAAGACTATTGTAAAAAATTGCATGCATAATTATCACAATCTTCATTTTATTCGCCTAGTTGTTTCATGTAGGTTGTTTATTCAGGTAATATCCCAGATCCAAATTAGCAATTGAAACATACAACATATGATGAGGGCGCACCTATGATGGAAAAAAAGATTGTGAAGAAATAATAAATGGATACAAACTATGAAAACAAATAGAAACCAACAACGAATAGCTAATAGTATGCAGCTACTCTTCAGCTTTGATCTTGAGACGATGGTGTAGAGAGAGAGACACACTGATGGTTGCACGATAAATGACCTGATTTGTACCTCTAATAAGAGGCTAATCTATAGAGATAGCAGGATTTCTGAGGAAGGGGAGCAACAGCTACCTGCAGGAGGTTGTTGATGATGTTGCGGATTTGGGGCTCGGCGAAGCCGTACTGGGCGAGGTGGTCAATGGTGGCGTCGACCCGGCGTTTTACTCTCTTGGGCCTTGGCCGCCTCATCGCGTCGGCCGCTGCGGTCCCCATACTGATGGCGGTGGGAGTGAACACCTTGAATGCTCCAAGCTCCGATTGAGAATATAAAGAGTCCCTGGGAATGTAAAGAGTCGGACGATTCAGGCGAAGCGCTAAACAGAAGTGGTAAAAGGTGTCGTGTTGGGTGCTGGGCCTATGCATCGCGAAAATGGTGCAAACCGGGATCTGGTCATAGGCCGGGCCAGGCTAGGCCAAAAAAACCCGACGGATTTTCCCTTGGGCTGCGCCTGACCCGACTACTGGCCCGCGCCCAATCGATGGACACTCGGCGAGGCGGGGAGGGGATTTTATATATTTATAATACTGTATTTCAATAATAACTACGTTTAAGAAAATTTATAGATCTAACCATTTTGGTCGATGATGTGACAAAATAACGCTATCGCACTACATGTGTTGGCACGGCAAGGCCTGTCACGTTAGATGGCATTTCATATGTGGAAATCACGCCCCTCTCGTTGATGTGATAGTATTGTTTTGTCGCGTCATTGGAAATAGCGTGACAAGACTCGACTTTAGAAAAATCATAACTCTTCGATACGACACCGGGTGAAGATAATTTTCATATGAAAATTGTACAACTTTCTAGTTTTGAATTTTTTCTATTTGAGGGCGTTAAGATGCTGAAAAAAAATAATATAAAATTTCAACACCATAATAATCACGTACTAGCGCTTGTCGCATTATAAAAATATTATTTTTTGTATGGTGTCAAATAAAGATACTTTTTAGTATCAAAGTTGTTGCCCTCAATGAGATCTACAACTTTATATTTTTGAGTTTTTATATTTGAGGTCGTTAAGATGCTCGAAAAAATAATATAAAGTTTCACCAGCATATTAATCATGCTCTAGGCTTATCGCCTCGCGAAAATTATATTTTCTTGAAAGGTCTAAATTGAAGATATTTTTTACAGTAAAGTTGTAGCTATCGATGTGTTGAGGATTTAACTTCGCCAGGAAAACTTAGCCCCTGAAACTTTGGAGTTGAAATTATGATTTCAATAACAAAGTTTACTTGCAGGAGAAAAAAACGAAGCGAAGATGGAAATTTGACTTCGCCAGAAAGATTTCATCTTCGCTGAGAGAAAAGAAGAAAGCAAGACTAGGTGAAGACAAGGATTTGACTTCACCTAATATTTTGAAGGAAGAAGAAGTCAAAGCGGAAATCGACTAAGTCCAAAAAGACGAAGACATCAAGAAGATTGATGACCAAGGTTGAAGAATGAAGGTTCAGAGGAGAAAAAGACCACTTCGCCCTGTACATAAAAGGGTTGTAACTATTTAAGTTAGGGGTAAAATGGTCATTTTATGTAAAGAATGAAGACTGGGACTCTAAAAATACCCCATCTGATAAGTACAGTACGATCATGAAATAAATACAACTTTGTCTTGTGTTCAAACTTTGATGTTTGGGTGATTTGTTTACCTAACATCTGGCGTCCACCGTTTGTGTGTGCTCGAAGACTCTCATGACCACGCGAAGCTAATGTATAGGCATAGCAAGAAAGTTACCACTTGGGTAACTAAAGATGACCCACCAACAGTCAGAAATCAAAGTCTTGAAAAAGATGCACCCCAAGACCCAAACCCTTCAGGGGTAAGCGAAGCCGAAGAACAAAGACTCAAAGAACTAAAAGAACAAGTGCTGAGAAAGGAAAAAAGAACTCAAAGAATGTCGCGCAAGAGCAAGAGAAAAGCCTCTCAAACAAAGAATAGAAAAAGCTGAAGCCACCCTTCGTGAACTAAATGAGCAACTTCAAAGCACATGTCATGAAATCATACATTTGGAAGAACCAAATTCAGCAACCAAAATTTCTCAAGAGAAGAATTCCCAAAAGTCATTCATATCAATTGACACAAGCTCTCCCTTATCAATAAACTTTGTAGCTACCACAATGGCCCTTGGGATACAAATTCAACATGATACCAACATTTGATGGTCAATCTAACCCAAGGCAATTTTTTATGAGTTTTGAAGCCGCAGTAATTTCTAGAAGCGGCGATGAAACTACGTTATCAAAATCTCTTGTCATGGCAGTCAAAGGACTAGCACAACAATGGTACTCTTCGTTAAAAGCAAAATCCATACATTTATGGGATCAACTTAAAGCAAATTTATATGTTGACTTTCAAGGATTCCAACCAGCTGGCCTCATAGACATCAGTTCAATTGCAAGCAACAAATCAAAGAGCCCCTGAGCCAGTATTTCAAAAGATTCATCCAAATCAAGGCACACAAATTCTAAATATCCCAAATGAAGTGGTAATAATAGCCGCAATCAAAAGGCTTCGAGTAGGCCAATGTGCTTCTCATTTCGCTCGAGAAAAACCAAGTATAGTTGTTGAGCTTTACGAAGTCATTCAAAAATACTACAATTTAGATGATGATTACAAAAAAAGAATCGAGGAAGAAAACAACTTTAGGGCTTAAATCAAGCAAAGCAACAACTTCCACCCTCCAAGACCAAACAACTATGAGTGAAGACCATTTACATCGCTCAACTAAGTCAATCAAATCAAGAATGACAACAATTCAACTGCTAAAAGTAATTATGCTCACCAAAATCAATACAATCTAGCGAAGTCAATATAATGAAAGAACATTTGAAATAGAAGGCTTTGCCACAAGAGAAAGAGGAAGAAGAGAAAGAGGAAGAGCACCTTTAAAACCTAAAGATATGTATTACATCATTCATGGCAAAGGGGCTGGACATACATCCAAAATGTGTCCCAATGTAAAGAAAAGCTTTGAAGAAGCCCAAGAAAAAATAGGGCACCAAGCCAATCAAAAGTTGTCAATCATGTGAGGCAAGAACAATAAAGTTCTCACCAAACTTATTACCCAATGCACTATGGACATGCCAAAGCATTACTTACAGAGCCACTGCTCGCATACAGATATGAACCACTAGCAATGTACCATCCCATGCAAAATCAATGGAGGCAAAATCAGCCTCAGCAATCCAATGTTCAATCACCACAACCTGAAGCTTCGATTGCCAACAACAGGCCACAAAATATTCAAGCCAAGCAAGAAAACAACTCTCCATCAGCTTCAGTGGTGAACAATAATGCAATCATCCCAAAGTAGAGGAAGAATATTGACAATCACGGGAGGAAATAGCATGGACCATGAAAATAATAGTCAAAGAAGAAATTACTTTCAAAGAGTAAATTCAATTTCAATGGAAGGCCCATATAAGAAAACAAGATGGTCCCATCTACCAATCATATTTTTAGAAAAAGACCTTCAGCTGAAAGATTACCCACATATGGATGCTATGGTAATTGAAGCAAATATTGATGGATGGGTAGTTTCAAAAATTTTGGTTGATGGTGGCAGCTCCGCAGATATCATATTTACATCAACAACACAGGCCATAAAAATTGATCGCAAAATATTAGGGAGAGCAGAACACCCGCTTTATGGCTTTGGTGGGGAAAAGATACACTCAATCGGGAGAATAGTTTTACAAGTCTCTTTTGGAATAGTAAGCAATGCAAGAATAGAGCAAATAGCATTTGATGTGGTTGACATATACTATCCATACAATGCACTCTTCGGAAGAGGAACCCTTAATGCATTCGAGGCAGTTATAAGCTACTCTTATTTATGCATGAAAATGGCAGCAATAAATAGAGTAATCACAGTCCATGGAGACCAAACCGAGGCAAGAAACATTGAAAAAGAATATACTCTAGGACAAAAGAATGTTCACGCAATCGCTGAAGAAGAAGAAGAAAAAGAAGAGACAGAAAATGCGAAGCCTCAACCTAGAGCCCAAGCTTGTGAAGAGACAAAAAGAGTACCTCTTGATCCATTAGTACCAGAAAAACAAGTCATCATTGGTACTAGACTTTCTCAAGAAGAAGAAGACAAACTCATAGAGTTTCTTCGAAGTAACAAAGACGTATTTGCTTGGTCATCCAATGACTTAGGAGTCAGTAGAGAAATAATTGAGCACAAATTAGACATCGATCTAAAAATTAGACCAAAAAAGCAAAAGTTGAGAAAATTAGCCGAAGACAGAGTTCAGACTGCCAAAGCCGAAGTTCAAAGATTGCTAGATGCAAAAGTTATAAGAGAAGTTCAATTCACAACTTGTCTAGCAAACATTATCATGGTCAGAAAAAAGAATGGAAAATGACGAATGTGTATCGATTTCATAGATCTTAATAAAGCATGCTGAAAGGTCCTAATGGCTAGAGAGGGGTGAATAGCCTATTAAAAAATTCTACAACAACACTAAGGCAAGTGATTAGTAAATAAGATGGCGAAGCGAATTTTGCGCTAGCACTACACTTGTGTTGTAAGCCACCTACCCAATTCTAAAATCTATGATCTCTAGTATATCACAAAAAGGCTAAGTCACTAATTTACACCTAGGTGAGCAAGATAGCAAGAGAACAACAACTAAGAAATACACTAACTAGTTTCAACTACCACAAGCTCTACACAAGTAAAGGCACAACGTAACACAAGAGAGTGGTAGAGAGGTATACCGCCATGGCAAGTAATCAATCAATGAATACCAAGGAGACAATCAAGACACAATGATTTTTCCTCCGAGGTTCACTTGCTTGCCAGCAAGCCAATCCCCGTTGTGGTGATTCACTCACTTGAAGGTTCACACGCCAAACCCACAACCGGGTGCCACACAACCAACACAAGATGAGGATCCACAAGCCATGCGCAATCCACTAGAGTTGCCTTTGGTGCTCCGCCGGAAAGGCACAAGAACCCCTCATAATCAAAACGATCAGAGCCGGAGACAATCACCTTCCTCCGCTCGACGATCCACCAATCACCAGGGCATCTAGGTGTCGAAACACCAAGAGTAACAAGAACTCCACCAGCCCAAATCACCCAACTAGTGCCACAAGATGCTAGAACACTAAGCAATGCACTAGAGGCTCTCTAATCTCACTCAAGATGATGAAATCAAGTGTGCAAGTGAGTGGAGTGGTGTGCTTAGCTCTCAAAGAGTGTATGCAGTTGTTAGAAGTGCTAAGAGAGTGACCAAGGCTGGCCACTAGCTCTATTTATAAACCCACAAGCAAATAGAGCCATTACCCCTTTGAGTCAGCTTCTGTAGGGTCACTGGACATGTCGGTGTGGCACCGAACATGGGGTGGTGG